ATTTATGAACTTCATTGATAAATATATAAAATCGAAAAACTTTGCATTCCCTCGACATGCATTTTGCATTAAAATGAATAGAAAGAGAAATATGTGAGCAATTTTCATCAAAAAATTCTGTTATGTCACTCATTAGTTTTTTTGCCATTTCCGATTTTATATATTTCACTTGAATTTTTGTTGATAAGAAAGAAAAGATCGAAATAACACTTAAGATAGTCAGTCAAATGACAGAGGTTTTGCAGTATGTATCGATAACTATTAAAAGGACTGATCGATAAATGTACTATTTAAAATATTCTTTCCAATTTTCGCTTATTAAAAGTTTACTTGCTGAAAACGTTTTAAAAAAGTAATTTGAAGTTTCATTAAGCGAAAATAAAGTGCATTACATTATTCAGCTACACTTAAAAAATATTGTAATACTGGTAATAGGACTCTTGATAATTAACGGTATTCATGCTTTGAAGACGTGGACATTTGTCCTTTTTTTTCCAGTTTTTATCGGAACGATGATTTATGGCAATAAAATTAGGTGACATTGATTAGTCAAATTCAAAAAGTTATGCGTTTTCATTTACACTTTTTAAATATCAATACTTTTCGAGTAACAGTATTATATTGCAGATACGGAGATTGAATCCGAACTCCTCGCTCAGATACTCTGATGTGAATGTGTGTAACAATCGCTTCATTGCATTGCTCTAGAATTAATCAATTGAACTGATCCAGGTTTCATATAAATTTACAATTATGATTGACTTATTTTCAGATTTTATATGGTTATTTTGGCTTATGGAAATCGTAGAACTTTATTGAGTGTAATAAAATTAATCTTTCGTTATTTCTGCATAAAACCTTCGCTGTTTTTGCATTGTTTTCGAAGAAGAACAAAGTCAAATTTTTTTATTTTATTTACTATAAAAAAAATTACTATCTTTACCTCATAAATTGGTTGAGGATTTTACGAATTTTTAGAAATTTATTTTAGTTGAAACGAAATCATTCACATAAAGATCCATGGACAATTGCTTAAAATCAATATTATTTTTGGAGCAGAAAATTAGCTTATTGTCATTATTCTTTCGTTTTCAATGAATAAAACTGCCTAAGGGCATTCCTGGATCAAATCTCGCAGATGTTTTAAATTTTAATTGTTTTTTCATCTAATTTTTTTTCTTTCTCTTCGAAATTCTCAGTTCATTTGGTTCTTCATAAGAACCGAATTGTGAATTATTTTAACGTAAAACTAATCGAAAGTCAAGAAATTCGAGAATTGAAGCTCATAAATGTTTCATCATTGAAATATTTTTCCTTTTTTCCACCTAAAATTAATCAAAATTTCGAAATTTTTTGCCCATTATTCTATTTTTATAAAATAGTTTTAAATTTAAAATTTAATTCTAAAGAAATTTCTTTTTCAATTTTTATTACTAATTCTATCAATTTTTTTTGTTTTATAAATATTTAGAAGCAATAATTTCAAAAAACAATTGCACCTAAGTTTTTTTTCCATAATTTCGCCGGCTTCTGCACTTTCTACCATAGATAACCTTTTCCTTTCCTTCGATATTTAGTATTCCTTCCGCTTCACTTCTTTCTCACATGATCTTAAAAAAATATTTTAAAAAAATAAGAAACTACCCTTTTAAACTGGTATAGATAATCAAAATTTCTCTACAAATTTCACCATGTGTTCATATTTTTTTGGAACATTTTCTTTTGCTTTCAAAACGGCAGATTGCAGAAATTTCTGAAATATTTCGCTTAGTGATTAACTTTTCATAACATTTTTTTATTCAGAAAAAGTCTAAAATTTTTTTATCGCTTAAAATAGAATTTTTTGAACAAAAATATTTTGTTTATTTGGCCAAATGAATTTATTTAATTTATTTATTCAATGAAAAATTTAATTTTAATCGTCATTAATTGTGAATACCAACTAAGTTTAAGTTGAACTGAAGTGAAATGGCATAAAAATATACAGTTTATGGAGGAATATTAGGAAAATATGCTGCTTGGAGTGATCGCGATCCTTGCCAAATATTTTCTTTGTTTCAATTTACTACATTCAGTTCAGAATGTTGATTTTAAAAAATACACTTAGAGTTCATTAGTTTGTTTTTTTAGTTCATTATCTATCGTTATTATTGGTTTTTTTTGAGGTAATTTTCGTTAATTTTATAATATTTTTTATTGTTCATTTACAGAAAAATTAATGCTTTATCCATAGAAAAATAAGAACAAAGTAATGAATTGCCGATGAAATTTTTAATAGATAATGAAGATTTCTTTAGTTTTCGAAAAGATTTGTGAATATAGTGAATGTATGAATGGCAAAATTTGTATTAAGGTGAAGCAAAAATTGATGAAAGTATGGTGGAATTCTAGTTTTTATAGTTTGTAAATTCTATTAAGTTTGATTTTTTAAAAGAACTTTTTTTATAAAAAAAGTTGAGGAAATCGAATTCTTTGGTAAAAATTGATTATAAAAATATTATGGGAATGGTTGCTTAATTAGGAAAAGCAAAACATTTTCCGCTCTCATCCACTAAATTCACAATCGCCTTTCACTAAGATTTCTGGATTCTCGCATGTACAAAGCGATCAATATTTTCACTACATTCACAATTTATTTAAAAAAAATTTCCTCAATTAATCGAGTAAATTAATCAATATGCGTGCGGTTTTTACCTATTAGTCACTGTTAAAAGTCATTTTATCCAAAATCATGTTGTGGATATATTTTTTGAGGAAAAGGCATTTTGCGTTATTCAAAAAATGCCTACGATCATTTGCACTTCTTATTTTTGGATGCACTTTTGTTTTGCTAGTGGTTCGCAAGGCAAATGCATTGCACTTTTTGTTTTCGAAATTTCATTGAACGCTTTCAACTCTCCTTTCCCACCGCTTTTCCCGCAAACATTGTGATTTCACATTTTTTACTCTTTGCATATTCATTAAGTGGTAATGGTTCATGAATTTTTAGGAAGGGGGTTAGGGGACGAGCATCCTTTCAATAATTGTCGTTTTCTACCTTTCTGTGATAAAAAATAGCGAAGTATTTAACTTATCGTCGTTTTCAAAGTACTCATCGTAATTCACTTAATTTTTAAAAATAATTTTGTTGGTCGGAAATTTCATAAAATAGAAATGTTTTTCTAAAAAGAATTAATATGATATTTGATGTTAAAAAAATTTTATTTGATTTAAGTATAAAATTTATTCAAAAAAGTAAATATATAGTAAATTTTCATTTCGTTTCGTTCTACATAATTTTTAGAAAATCACCTTTTTTTTCTTGGAAGCATGGAAAAAAGTGATTCATACAAAATGAACATTTTTTAATCATCCTTATAAGGTGATAAGATAAGATGGACGACTGATAAGAATACGTTAATTTCTTAATTCGCAGTCGTTTCATGCCTTTCACAGTTTTATTCTCCACTTAGATCTATTTAATTTAAAGTGCTTTATTATTTTGTCCTTTTTAAAACTACATATTTACTAAAAAAAAATTGGTATTTGCTCGTTATTTTGCGAATTGCTCTAAAAGTAGCAAGTCTATCGGTATAACTTTGATATGTTTTTTTCAGCATATTTCGCTCATTTTTAATCATTTATTATGGAAATTAATTATTCATATACTTTTTTTTTACATAGATAAAAGATGATTTTAAAAATGATAATTTTGCAGTCGACCGTTAATGACCGAAATGATAAATCGAAAACAATTATTGCATAGTGCAATAGTCAGCTGTTTTACACTGCAATTATATTTTAGCAGTTTCTTGTTGTTTTTAATAAATCATTTGTCAGTTTTTTCTTGCATTATCTCTTTTTTGCCATTTCGCGGACAATAAAAATAAGTAAATGAAAAAAATTTTCGAACTGATAATCATTTAATCAAATGTATGTAAAAATGTAAATGAAATAAGCGAATGAATGTAAATGAATGTAAATGAAATCAAATTAATGTGGGCTTAGGCTTAGACGAGGATGGAAGTAAGTAAGCAAAGCAAAGAAATGAAGTAAGAAAGTAATTCACCTGTCCATATATCGTCGATCTCTAGTCTTATTACATGATTTAATATATATTACACATATATTATTCATTTGACTAGGTCTAGCCATGGAAAACATTGTTTTTAAGTGAAATAAATCAGCTAGAAGCTTCGCAAGAATTTCGATAGCAGTGGAGAATAACGAAAAGCCCGTCTCAGATGTCTGCAAAACACAAAATAGCTAAGTCAGCCCATTCTTTTTCGGGTTTTTTTTGATGATTAAGTACGATTATTCGAAATTTTAGTTATTTCATAGTTCATCATAAGTAAATAAGCAATTCATTCATCTGTATCGTTCTTCTTAGAAAAAGAAAAGATTTTTTCTATTCTCGTTGAATTTTTTTATTCATTCTTTCTTTTATTTTCACTTCAATGTACTTTGAAAAAAGAAAATTAGTCGTCGTTGTCAACGGTCTAACAATACAAGAACGTCAGAAAAGCGAATAAAAAACCTGATTTTCAGTAGCTGGTCGATGGCGAATTTTCTCATCTTCTAAATACAGTCCATTCACCCACTCGTATACCTTATTGATCGTTACTATTTTTATACATTCTTTTTCAGCAGAAAAGAAAACGGTACTCATCTTAAAATTGAGATATCTGAGGATTTCCTCATATTCCTAAGAAATTTGTCGTTCCTGGTCAAATTTTTTTCATTATCTATTCGCTTTTACTCATAGTTACTTATTGCACAAGCAAAAAAAAAGAAAATTTTCGTAAAAATTGAATGGCTATTTATTTAAACACCATTTTAATGAGAGACATATTAACGTCAAATTACTGTTATCGCTTTCAATTATTTTATTCGTCGAAAAAGAAGGAAAATTTAATTTTAAATTTTTTTATTATTATAACTTTCAGAGAAACGAAGATTTAAACAAAGCTCTTAAAGAAATTTACGAAAGAAGAAACAGCAACTTGGGATTGTTGCATACGATGGCTGGAAGAGGTGATCGGAAAAATAGCGCTCAAAATTCAACTTCACTCACTAATCATCCTATGTTAGATCCAGTCACACTTCATATGGCTTACTTGGCAGCACAGTTACGCAGTTTAGAGCAGAACCAACTTGCATCATCAGTCTTCACAAAATCACCTCTGTCGTTGACCGATTGTCTTTCTGCTCTAACAAATTGTTCTGTGAACAATTTGTATAACGCTCCGATGGGACAACGATTGCATTCTTTTTCGGAACTTACCAATCATCTATCTGGCCGATCAACTACAGCACTTGATGCAATTAATCTCGCAACGACCTCGATTCCGCAGACTTCCCAGCAATATAGTACGCTTGATATGATGCTACAAATGCAAATGGTTGCCGCAACTGGTTTGATGCCTCAGACCATCAATTTTCTACCTCCAGCCTCTTCACTTAGCGGTTTATTAGGTCATCCATTATCTTGTGCACCAAACATGCCAGGTCTTACACCAAACCCAGCATCTTTCAACAATCTTGGTTTGTCTTTAGCGTCCGAACCACCTAGTTTAAATCAGATCGCTATCACTGAAAGCAGCAAGATCGATTGGGCGCAGGTGAACATTCTTTTCGTTTAATATTTGCACTTTCCGTTGTCGCTACTGTCGATAACTTTTGAACTTTAAACTGAATAGATATATCTAATAATCAAGTTTTTGTTTTTTCAGAATTAAAAGCAATTTTCTTTTCTTAATTACAAAGGGAATCTTTCAAAAAATAATGAAACATGTGGAAAAAATCCATTCAAAAAGTTGAAGAAGATTGTACAAATTACCATTTAATTGAATGATAAAGCAATAAAATTTGAGACAGTGATCGTTCATCTGAAAAGTATGTGTACATCCATATTCCAATTCAATCCTTTCAGTGATATTTCACTTCAGAGTAATCTTTCTAAAAGCAATCGAATTTACTGTAAATATTCGAAATTTTTAAAAATTAAAACTTTAAATTTTAATCAAATTTCAACTTTTTTTAATATCAGAATTAATTCTACAGTCAATTTTACATCGCTATACGCAATGATCTCTATTTTACCACGCGGGAAGGGAGTAGTATGGGTGATTCAATTCGTATCGAGCATCGTAGGTTCGATTCCCTATCTCTGCAAGAATAAACCTGTAAACTTGCCTTCAAAAAAATCGCTCGAGGCCCACCTCACTAAGTGAATTTTTCATTTTCTTCACAAATTCATCACTGTATTAATAAATCAGCCAAGCTAACCTATCTTCAGAAGGTGAGTGCTAGTTAATCACTTAATTTTCATACATATATGTAAGCAAACTCAGTCCTTACAATCGTCCTTATATAGATCACTATTGATCAATATTTGAAAATGAATAAATAAGGTGCAGTCATGCTTAAATTGTTCGGAATCGCTTTCTTATATAGAACGTGAGAGAATTCTATTCTATTTAAATGGAATCTTGGACATAGTTTTATAAACTCAGAAATAGATATTATATCTCATGAAATTACACGTTTATATGTCTAAAAAACATCGCAAAAACAAATACTATGAATGCTTATACGACAGATTTTATTTGATGAAAACTGGTGCGCATGCAGTTTGTTCAAATTTTGTTGATGGAAGTCAGTTTGAAATAAATCTTTTAGAATATTTTTGTTTCTTTCATTCAGGTTTCTGAATGAAATAATCCTCTTGAAATTCTCTGGAACAAAGAGAGAAAGAGAGGTTATGTATTTTAAATAAATTCTTCACTTTTCACTGTTCTCATTAAAATGGAATAATTTTTTTAATGTTCAAATTGTTTGAGTTGGGGTTACTGGGATTTTTTTTTCTAATTTGGAATTGTTAAAATGTCAAATTTTAAAAAACCACTGTTCTCAATGAAAGCATTGTTCAAGGAAAGTAGCATTTGTTTAACAGTATAATTCAGAAAACCGCTATCTGTTATATGCGATTCCTTGAAAAAAACATGCCAAATGCTTGAAAAGCTCGGATATATAAGATTGTTGTGAACATTGATAATCTGGTTCATTAAAAAGTTTTCTTAGTTTGATATTCTTCTTGTGTCAAAGGAGTTATCAAACTTATTATATTTATTTTCAAATAATAAAATTTAAATAAAATTTATAAATTTATGGAATCAATTGGAATCATTCAATCAAATTAGGTGAAAATATCTTTTTGGATATTTTGACTGATTGCTGCTTTGATAATTAAAACAGTTTTCATGCATATAATATTTTACCAATAAATTATGAACTTTGTTCCATTAATTGAATTTCAGGAATGCTTGGGAAATTTATTGCCTAAAGCTTCAACAAATCAAGCTTCAAGTGATCGTTTGTGTTATTCGATAGCATGTGACACAAGTAAAAGTACCGATGGCAGCCCAAAGCCTCATTTAGAACTTAGAACTTATTCATTGGGTAGAAAAGAAACGTTAAAAAGGCCTACAACTGAGGCAAATACTTTGAAACAGTTGTGCAATGAAGAAGAGGAAAGTGCACCATTCAAGAAACGATTTAAGAAATTCTCATTTGATGAAACAATAGCTGCTGGTTCGAGTTTTATTTTTTGTTCATTTCATAACTTCTGCATTTCAAGCTTTCTCGTCAAGTTAAAGGATGGAAAGGAAAGTAATGAACATCGAGGTTTTAAATTAAATGTCAACTTAATTTATTAATGCAGACTTTCAGTATTATTTTTCGTTGTGAACGAAGTAAGGAAGTATCATTTCTCCCTAAATTTTTTCTATTCTATAAAGAATTTTATTAAAAAAGAAAATCGTAAACATAAGAAGTGTTTGAAGAAAAAGAAATGCCTTCCAAGTCTTTTTTAGCTTTTTTTCGCTCAAATAAATTGTTATAAAATGAATAATTTTATTATTTTATTTCTTAACATTATAAAACAATTTTAAATAATTGTGAAAATTCTTTAAATTTCGATTTTTTTAACTTATTTTTGTCTGGAAAGTACCATATTCCTTTGAATGTCTAAATATTCTTATAACCATTTTTGATCAAAAAAATTTCAGGAAGTAGTAATCATTTGAGTCGAACTGATGGAATTCAAACGATGGCTTCTCGATTAAAGGACTACGAATGTCCAAATCGTCATCATCCTATTAATGTAAGTAATCTCTAAGAATTCTTTTGAAAAAGTTTGCTTATTTTTTTCCTTTTATATAAATATAAAATTCTTAATAACGAAATGAAATAAACGATGGTTTTTCGAAGGAAAATTTTTTTTCCAATATTTCATTACTTACATCGATTTCTTTTTGGAAATTGTAGAAAATTTTATTTTTCATAATTTCTTGCAATGAATTATAAATCATTTTTTGAGATTGCTGAATTATTCAATTGATAAAACAAATTCAAAAAGAATTATTGATTCACTTTTGAATCATTTATAATATTTGAAGTATTCTAGTAATAATAATAATAAATAATTATAAGGCTTGAGAAAAATTTTATGTTTGTTTATTGTGTTCAGATCGCGCGATATAAGCGCGCGTATAACGTGCTTATGAAGTCAAATCGGAGCTCGCTAATATGTCGTTTGATTCTCATTAGATAATTTGCCTTTAACTAATTAGGGACTGTGTTTGGAAACTATTATGAATTTTTCAGCTTTTTTTCGTTTTTAAACAGCTGCTTTCCATCTTCCTTTTTTTCTTGACTATTGATGTGTAAAAACTTCCATTTTAGATTTCTATTTTTTTGTAATTTCTTGGTTTTTGCCTGTTTTATTTCTCAACTCCTATTAATTTCTCAATTTCTTACCAGTTAATATTTTAAAAATATTTATAAATATTTTAAAAATTGAACTATTAATTTAATAAATGTTTTTCTTACTTTACAGCATCGACCACCAGCAATTGAAGCACGGTTTCTCGAATGTATGGCTGCAATTGCTTTACACTCTGATTTTCCACTTCTCAGTTTAACAAATATAAAAGATCAAGATGAAAAGGAGCAAGAACAAGGTGCTGATGAAAACGATACGGCGAAGTCCCGTCGTCAGCCTTGTGAATTAAAATCTCAGATATCAACAGATGATGAAAAACCCGAAAAGGATACTGAAAGCCCTTGCAACTCGGGAAATGGTGGCGCTAGCAAAAGTGCTGATACTTGCACTGATCTTAAAAAGGATGATAATACATTGGGTTTATGGTCGAGTACTGCTGTTGATGAGGAGCTCTATGAGAAGTTCGAAACTTGTCGGGGCCCTGATATACCTGTTATTCACGCATATGTTTTACCTTCAGAAGCCAATGAAGAAAAAGCTGGTGAAGAATCGCTTCCTGTTCAATCATTAGCCGTACCTTTGCCTGTCGTGAACATGCTTCTCGATCGAATTTTGAAGACAATGCTTGTTGAGTCATAGTCATCTCGCTCAAGCGCACAGTTTGAGAATATCTGTAAGGTTTTCTTAAGTCTCTGTTGGTTCTGTATTGATCTGTAAAATAGCTGTGTGGAATTATAAGCAATTAGCTTAAAAATGAAGTAAAATTTTCCTGACGACTTTTTTTTTATAATTTAACTTTTTCTTTTGTATATTCACAATCATTTTTTGTAGCTTCATTCATCCGAGTATACTGTAATATGTATATTCGTGTATAATCGAACATAAAGTGGTGATCTTTAGGGTATTTGGTATCCTCCATAGGGTATCTTTTCACTATATCCATGACCACTGTTATCTCATTTGCAGTGCTGCCAAAGACCGTGTCCCGTAATTTTCGACCTTTTTCGAGCTATTGATCCATCATAAGCGATTGAATTTTTCGAACTATATTATTGTAATAATCGCTTCTTCCTTTATTTCTGTTTTCTTTTTATTTATTGATAAATTATGATATTACTTATGATATAGCAGATTATTTCTTTGAAAAATTGAAAGGCGTAATTTTGCGAGTTTTTATTTATCATTTGGCTTCTAAGATCGTTAATCCTATATTTAGTTTATTTTTACCTTTTTTTATCTTTTCTTTTCATCTTTCAACATCATCTTTTCATCATCTTTATCATAATTACTTTATTCTTTCTGATGTTTTCAATTAAAATAGTTTGAACAATAACGAAGAATAGGGAAAGGGAATTTGTTGGATTTCGCTCAAATTTTTGTTTCCATTTTATTCATTCTCTATAGTGATGAAAAACTCAGAAATGCACCCAACTAATTGTTGTGATTTGCTGCTTGAATTACGGAAATTTTCTCGCAATTTTGCATCAAATCATATTTGTTCAATTTTCTTATTTCCTTTTATTTTCTATAGGAAAGAGCATTTGCCCTCTTTCTTCACCGAAAAGATTTTCCGCTTCGTATTTATTGACTTGATTTTACTTGTTTTATACGAAATTTTAAGTCTTACCATCAGTTTTTTGGTTTTGTTAAGTTTTTCATTCATCTTCTGACCTCTTATTTTCTTGAATTTCATATTGCATAAATGATGTATACCTCGTATTTTTCTGACTTCTTCGATTTCCTATTTGTTTATTTTTAATAAAGATTCGCTTTAGCAAGCGTTGGATGGATTAACTGATATCACAATTTTTATTATTTCTATTTTAGGCATTTCTGTTAGGCATAAATTTCATTTAAAAAACTTTATGGCGAAAGAATTTATCGGTGGTTGTCATTCATCGTAACATCCATCCTTCATCATCTCTGCTGAAAAGAATTCATCAATTTTTTTTGGGAAATAGCTATTGAAATGGCACTAATTTTTTCATATCCAGGAAAGTGATTAATATCGAACGTTTCATGGATCAAAATTTTTGATTCGCTAGCGAAATTGGTAAATTTTTTTTTGAAAAGATTGGTGAAATTTCATCAAATTCCATTGCTAATTTGTATCATTGCAAAACAGTTATTTTTTATGGTTTTGTTATTTTTATTTTAATAAACGTATGAAGAATATTCAATTCATATAACCTACGAATGCTGTTTGTTTATCTATTCAGTTCGCTTTTTTAGAGTATAAAAGAGGGTAAAATTATAGCAACAATACTTCATCCCATTTTTCGTTCTTCTACCTAATTAATAATATTACATCAAAGAATTAGTAAATTAAAAAACATAGAATCATTAGCGAAATCTATGATCTGGCATTACATAAATTAGATACTGTGGGATTGTCTTCCCTTATTTAAATATATTTTTCCTCTTTTTATCAGAAATTGGGATGATTTTGAAATATTTTAAAATGTATTGGAATTACTATATGTGCCGAATCACTAGCTGGTTTCAGCAATTAACGAATCACTTTTTAGAAGATTATTGGTAGGCTTCTAGCCATCTGAGAAAACACATTTGAGAAGGCTTCCTTATTAATCCTTTATAAATTCTATCCTTCATTCATTCTATCGCGTTCTTTTTTCAAATAACAAAGACCCATATTTTATGCATCTAAAGCCGTAGGCATCAAAACGAATTTTAGTTATAAAGGGAAGATTTTACGCTCTTTTAAGTACTCAACAATCCTGATAAAATTTTTCGTGAGCCTTATTATTATTTTATGTAGCATTCTTCATTTGCATAATGTTCAACTGAATCGATTGAATGCAAACCATTAATAGATTTGAAAACATTACAACGTTGAAGGATAAAATTTTTAAACACTATCTTAAGAAAATATTTGGTTGGTTTTAACAATAAACGAAGTAGAAAAAATCAATTTTATAGAAAACATTAATCAGTATCAACAGTTTGTGCTTGCAGTACCAATATTTCAAAATCAAGCCTTTATTTACATAGATTAAACGATGGAGACAATTGAAATACAAATGAAATGGAAAATCCCTGCCTATTATGCAAATACGTCGATATCTGATTGAAATAATCGGTTGCAGCCGTTTGTCACTGCTGCATGTGTCAGTTCTTACATGACACGTTCTTTGAATAGCATTATGAGGTCGAGGATATTCTCGAATATTAAATGTTTAATTTGACCGATGTATGAACATCGATTTGATATGCATATGAAAGAGTGAAGAAAAATTTCAGCTAGGGAAGACTTTTCTCGCGAACAATCTGCAAGTAACTTGCTTTTAGTGTCGTAAACATCATCTCCATTTCACCAGCTCCTCTTATTTGTGGCGTGAAATCATCGATGAGGCGAATTTCAGCACCAAGATGTTGAAGCTGAGCTCGTATAATCACATATATGAAAACGGGAATGAGATCATCAGTTGTCCAAATGTGCTTCTCGCCAGCTGCCGCAAAATGTGTTACGCACTATAACAAATTATTTATATTTGTAAAAATAAATTATTCGCTCTCGTATGAATATATTTTTTATCCTTGAAATTTTTAAACCACTTAAAAGATGCACTATTTTCCGATATTTAAAGTGTTCCTTCTTAGTTCTAACGATTCATAAAGATTTATTTATTCGTTACGTTGGTGTTTCAATAAAATCGTTATTGCTAAATTGTTTGTTTCACTTACAAGTAACCTATCTTTTTATCGTGAAAAACGATGAGAATTTTGCGTTTAAACTAGATTAGACAAACGTTGCTCGGAATCTACGAAAATTGCTGAAAGAAAATTGAAATTTTTGATAAATTCAAGCGAAGCTATTCCAAACTGAGAAAAATCCGGAATTTGCAAAAAAAATAAAAACAAATTTCGTCACGTAAACCGCAATAGATTCCCATCAAGTTTATCTTAGAAATACGTGGAAAAAATTTGAAAAAGAAAATCCAATGTTAATCATCACACTCGTCGATTACAACTGCTCATTGATTACCTTCAATTTGTTGATATGGGAGAACACTTAACGACTTGACGTCGAAAAGGAAATCCATTTCATTAATAGAAGCGTCTCCTGCCGTCTCTTCGCAATCGATGCGATATTTTCAATGTGGTGATGCTATTTTTCCATTTGAAAATAAGGGACACAGCGAGGGATATTTTTTTAACGAAATAATTGGCGAAAAAGAAAGCATTCGAAAAAAAGATCCATTTAATCGAGTATTAGCTTATCCTCATCTTCGTACGAAAATTAAATTTTATCAAAATTCAACCGCTTTTCAAACTCTCCATCGCGCAGTTTATATAGAAAAAATCCAAATTCCCAATTCATTATTATTCTTATATTTGATGCACTTCAAATCATTTGATTCGTCGATAACAAACTAGAAATAATCCGTGCAGTCATGTATATATCCATGTGCACACTCAATCGCCTATACGTGACAACAATTATTTTATAAATTTTCTATATTCTAAGTAAACGGCAATTTTTGATAATATTTAATGAAATTATCGACAATAATAACGACTATAATAAACTTTAGATGAAAATAAGAGAAATAGGATATTAACTAATTTGATGAACCATGGAAAAATGTCAAAAAAATTTAGAAAATTATCACTCGTATATTTACGCAAAACATCTTTCATCTTTCGAAAATAATTCTTCATTATTTAAAACATGAAAATCTACCATCCCATCTCTTAGTTAATTTCTTAAATTTCGAAAACTTATAAATTATAACTAATAAATTCTGAATAAAAAAAATTTAATTTTTTTCTATAAGGGACCAAAAAATCGCCCTTAATAATGCAAATAAAGAAGGAAAATTCAAAATATAATAATAAAAGAATAAAAATAAAAAATAATTGCTTTTCGAATGTACTTTTGACAAAAATTCAAAAAATAATCACCTTTAGAATGCCCTCTATTAACTAAACTGGCTTTTTTCGAAAAAATTCACATTTATAGTGCTGATGAATAAGTTAGAAAATGTCATTCCCTTAAAATCTAAAATTAATTCTCTCGTTGTTCTTTAGAATGACTTTTTAAATCAACAAACATTTCAATACTCGCAAAAATTAAAAATTTGATTACCATTTCAAATAATCAAATATCTTAATCATAAATTCAAAAAAAAAAATATAATAGATAGGACAACAGAATTCGCCCAAAGTACAGATGTACAGATTACTCAGTTGAAATGAGAATCTGACTATAAATAAGGGAGAGAGTTAATATTCATAATACTGAGAATTGAAGCTTAGTAATGAACTTGCTAGCTCAACACATCCCAAACTTGCCAAGGAATGAATAATGGTCCCTTATTTTTCACCATTAAACATCTGTATATGAAGAATCTATTAAGAGATTTTTTTTTACGAGTTTTAACCATTAATGGTTAAACTCGCTCCACTTGTCGCATAGGGCAATATGCCAGAGAGCCCCTTGGCGATAGAAATACAGGTGAGTCGTTAGTATCACCCGGATTTTTGTACAGGTTTACTCCTGACTCCTGACGCGAATCGAACCTCACCATCGATGTCCCCAAATGAGCAACAACCCACTGAGCCATTCTACTATTTATATAAATTATATATTTTAATTAAGATATTAATTTATATTAAGATATTATATTTACATAAATTATAAACATTCATGTAAATATTATAAATTTTATCAAGATGTTGAAAATTACTGCGCTAATTTCCGAAAATGTTCCCGCAAGCACGCTGAGTTTAGCAGAAGGATTGGGTTCACAACTAAGACGTTGTAAAACTTGAATGGCAGATTCATAAAATTTCTTGCGAGCTGATGGGACGGCCTGAAATTATATCAAAAGTATAAAAAACACATAGATCACATAGATCACAAAATCACATAGATCACAAAATATTTTTAATTGAATGAGCATCAACTATAAACACAAAACTGAGCGTTACAGCCAATAATCTGGCATCATACCGTACTTTAACTAAACATACCGATTTATAGGACAATTGCACACCAGCTTATATCAGTTGAAGAAAATTGATGCATTACATTTCAGAGAGAAATATTTTAATTGCACATTCGCAATAATTGTTGAATAACTGAAAAGAAAAACTAACCGCAGGTTCACAACCTAATCCGACAACATCAAATGGCCAGAGGTCCCTGAAACTGCATTGAGGCATTTCACGATATTGGATGATAAATGTATAATATATATAATAAATCGCATAAAAAATATTTTTTTTTTAAATGAACTCGGAAAAATAATTTGATAATTTAAAAATTAAAATTTAAAGTTAATTTAAAAATAAATGCCTGAAAGATTTGTTAATAAAAAATTTTTACTTGAAAGACAAAGTTAGATCGTTTTATTGTCATTCTTTTTGTAACAATTGTGGAGTGAAAGCAGGAAAATAAAAACTATTTAGAAAAAAAAGAGCAATAAAGAGCCATACTTACTCGTTAACTTCGAGATATGATAATAATTTAACATCGGTGTAGGCATTTAAATAAAGAACTCGTTCCCAATATCGCTCATCAAGTTCGGCGTATTTCATCGAATAAATCGTAAATATTATCGCATACGACTGAGAAAAGAAATAGCTTATCACAAAATCACAAGCTGGAGTTAAAGCTGACGTGTCGCGTACCGAAGTGCTTGTCGGTTGTGAGGATGAAGAATTCGAAAAATTTGACAATTCACTAAAACATCAATAATTTAATAAAAATGAAATACAGGAATTCGCTAAAAGAATTACAAAAATTAGAGAATTTTTTTTAATCTAATTTGCTCATTCATTTTTATTTCTTAAATTTCTTAAATATTTTTGTTTTATTATTGGAATGAATTATTGGAATGTACAAAAACACAAAAAATAATTTGAATGAAATAAACATTTAATTTAATATTCAATATTTAATAATTTAATATGTCTAATATGTCTAATTATGAGTCGAATATTAGATTTTCGACAGATTATACGTTAACTCACTCAATGTGTTAATATAAACATAATTATCCTTCATCACCTCCTAATACCTTCGACTTAATAAAATTTTAATGTAATCTAGTATAATATTTTTATATTTAACTAAAATGAAATAAGTGCAGCAATTTCAACGAATCATTTTTTTTTAAATGAAACTAACAATTAAATTGCAAAATGATTATTACATAAATTGTTTAACGCATAACTTTGTTCTTTAAGCAATGCTTTTTATTCACTTATTTCTCAGTTAAAAGTGTTTTTAACATTAAAAAAATTTTCCGAAGTTTTTAAATACTAATGCGATACTCTGGAAAAAGTTTTCTGAAAAATTGATATTCACGACAAATTTAGCAATTATAAAAGATTTACAATCGTTGGTCGTTACGAGGCTTTTCCAAACATTCATTACAAGTCGACAATGTCGATATCGAGGAAGATACAACCAAACCGGATAATGAACGACTACTGCTATCGATGCACACAGGAATCGGTGAATACATTTCATCGACTGATGGTAGGTTTGTAAAAAGCAATCTGCAAAATGGTGGCCGAATACAAAAGAAATATTTAGAACAAGAAAACAATGAACAATGAAAAGTAATCATCAGTATTAAGAAAAGAAATTTTTCCACTTATCCACATTATAATAATTTTCTTTTCCTATCGTTCCTTTAACATGTTGATTTAAAAAAAGAATAAGAACTAGCCAACAACCAATTAGCCTAAAAAACTCGGACTAAACAATTTTTAAAAAAAATGCCTGAAAAATATAAAAAATCAGCAATATACAACGATAAAGAAACTATAAAATAAGTCTCTATGGCGATCAATCTAGCAATCAAAAATAACAGTCAGCGATTTGATTAACTAATTTTGATTAACTAATTTTTAACTTGATGATGAAATTTTGACCTAACACCATCAAAATGAGATTTTTTTAAACTTCTTTTTGCAGCAGTTTTACCCGCATAAAGTTCAATATAAAATCTAATCCATTCGCTTGTTCTAATCGTAACTGTGACTGACATATATCCAATAAATAAGAGCTTTTACTTGAAAAATAAATAAATATCAATATATCAAATATATGTTTGGGGATAGTCATTTTCTGCTAGATACATTAAAGAGAATTGTCGAAACAATCCTCATTATTCTTAAAGCCACATTCTTGTGCCGATTCACTTATAGAAATTAAATCTTAAAAGACTAGAGCTTTGTTGTGCAAAAAAAGAAAAGTTTAAATAAAAAAAAGTAATGGCAAGAATATAGAATCTACGACAGTGATTAATGGTTTCATGGTACTGCAACCATTTTCACTAATAGTGGAATAAGATTCTGATTCAACTTCATAGAATATACATGTTTTGAAACTAATCTCAAAAATATAACGGGTAAAAAAGAATAAGAAAATGAGGTAACTTCTACTGAGTCTAAATTTGAACTGAGTTATATCTCTTTTAAAAGACTAACTGATGAAAGGACCACATTCTAGTTAGTAAACCAGCCAGAAATTGCTGAATGCTGTTAAAAAAAATAAAATAGACATGACAAGAGGACTAGCCAATGATAGGAAATCAAAGTGAACAAAGTTTAACTTCGAAGAAAGGATTGAAAATTTGAATTAGAAAGGTTTAAAATTCGAAGAAAAAATAAAAAAAAATATGGGATCACATCTACTGAATATAAGCCTTGGTGCACAAGAAACATCAAGAAAGAGAATGAAAACAGCGAAGGTACTTATTCAGTTTTTGAGAGAATAAAAGATATTACCTCATTATCTGATATATCCTCCAAATGATACTACGAAGATCTCCAACAACATGACCGAACAACAATCGATGAGAGCCTAAGCTACTGTAAGAAAAATTGAAGACTTCGATTAGACCGCTAACTAACCGGGATAATGGATGAAATTTATTTTCCAGTGCCTGCAAATAATGAAACATGCAAACATTACTTTAAAGAGCCGAATGAAATGAATCATCGAAACGAACAAAAGGATGAAAAGTAAGATTGAGAATGAACTGATAAAAAAATAACTTATAATACCGCATTCCAGTATTTGATG